TGGAACCAGGGATTGAACTCAGGCTCTTGCACTTTCCAGGGAAGCACTTATTCCACTGAGCCATCTCCCTGGCCCCTTGAAGATGCATTTAGTGAATAGTGTATTGTGCCCTAGTGCCCTGCCTAAAGCACTAGGGGTAAGGAAGGTCCTCTGCCTGCAGCTAAAGGTATCTACATATTGAGTGGGGCCAAAGTTCAGATCATTTCCAAGAAAGCAATGGGTTCTGACATGCCAACCTTCAAGGGGTATCCTGATGTAGAATGGCCATATGTCTCAATTTCACTATGGTAGCCCATGATTCCATGACAACTGTTGAAAGCATCACCAAACATTATCAAATGTGGTCCACTTTAAATAATAAATTACTTGGCCACTGTTCCATAGCTGAGTTGCTCTGAGAAGGCAAGACTCCATCTTACCAGCAGCTCCCCTGTGTGACTCTTCCTAATGCAGACAGAGGATCTTAGCACGCCTTGGTCTTGGGCAAGCCTTGAGTTTAGGGATTGTAAATTTGCCATGGTAGAAACCTCCAAGGAGACAAAGAATGCCACAGAGTATTTCCATTCTCACCAAAGGAACGTAAACTTTGGGAGAGGGGAACTTGGGCAGTGAGAGGGTCCTGACTACAGCAGAGCAACAGATGTGCACTGGTGGGACAATGCCTCCCTATCAGCAGCACAGCAGAGAGGACAGTTTCCAAGCCCAGAATACTCGACATCATTGAGTCTGACATACACAGGGTTGTGCCAGGGAGATTATTCCCATTTGCGAAATATTGAAATGATTTCGTCCTTGTTGGTAAATAGCCATGACAAGAAGAATCCTGGAAATTTTACCCTGAATGTCCCCTCCTTCCCTAGACCACAACATCTGTTCCCAAGCCAACATCTGGAGCCTTAACACCTGGCTCCACTGGAGTTCACCAGGAACTCTGCCCCAGAGCTCTGTCCCAGTTTAATCTAATTGATCGGCACCTGTGCCATACCAGTAGTAGCTCTATGGTGCGAATATCATTTCTATATAGTTCTATACAATTTTGGGCAGAAGAGCCCTGGAATCACTCAGAATATGAAAGAAAGGAATAAAATAGAGACACATGGAGATTCTGAGCCACCAAAACTGCAGTCCAGCTCTTGATGTGCTGCCTGCCCACCTGCGGGCATCCTCTGAGCCAGGAACCCATCTGTTTGACTTCTGTGTCCCCAAGGCCTAGGTGCTCTATTTTCATTATCCAGTGGCCCCACTCCTTGCTCTTCCTCCAGTAATTTCCAAGAATGGGGGGAGCCTTGATGTTTCCAGCCTTCACATTCACCTGGGCTTTCTCTCCACATGCAGCTCCACAGCAAGGAGTTGGCAGGCATTGTACATCATGATAAGCTTTCTGTCAATTTTCCCTCGGCAAGGTAAGCACAAGGCAGTACAAAGACTATCAGAGAAATTTTGACATCTAGGACTCAGGGCACATGTGGAACATTGGTGTTCATAGATTCCTTGCAAAACAGAAATAACCTACATTCTCCCAGCAGAAGTTGTAAAGCTAACCACTCTATTCTGTAGAAGTTTAAGAAAAAAAAAAGTTAGCAAGGTCCTGAGTTCAATACCTCCCCCCACCAAAAAAAAGAAAGAAAAAGAAAAAGAAAAAAGTGATAGCAGTCCTGTGTTCCTGTTTTGTTATTTGCCTGATGTAGTACCTGGGACTTATCTCTCCCTGTTTGGCTATGTCCATCTCCTTTGCTATCAAATGGGCAAATCATGTGGCCCCAACTTCCTAAAATGTTCTGATAGGATCACCTGAGAAGGAATGTAAGACAATTAAAAGAAAGTGAGTTCTCTGCAAAGAGGAGGGATTATTGCTAAATCTTTAATGTCCTTAAAGCAAAAACTTTCCCTCGCCATAGAAGAATCCTGAGGTTTAGACAAAAGATCTCTGGAACTGTGAATACAAGGATGGAAGGAAACTAGGGTAGAAGGAACTCCACTGAGACCACAGGATGGAAGCAACATGCTCTTTCTACACGTGGAGAAATTGGGCTTCAAAATATGCATGTCCAAGCCTTTCAACACAGAAATTTGAAACAGCATTCCTTTATATTACAGTGAAGGACAACTAATCAAGACATTTTCATTTCACCTATATTAGATAAGTGTGATTTTGGTAATTAAATCTAAAAATAATACTACTCAAGACTTCCTAGTGATACTCCATTTAGCCAATAAAAATTCACTTTATAATGTGAACAGACACATGGGCCTCTTTATGCCTCCTTTCTGTTCTCCAGTGCTTCTTCTTTGGCTGTTCTGGGGTTTAAACCCAAGGCCTTGTATGTGTTGTAACCACTGAGCTATAGCCCTCTTCCTCCTCTGACCTCCAGATGAGCTCACCAACCAGGCCTTTTCAGGGAAGGAGGGAGGCTAAGTTTTCCTAGAATGGTTTTGTGTTAGCCACCCAGGAAAGACCCCCAGTTAAAGTTTGCTTGAGCATTTGTTTCCTCTGAATTCCATGTTTCCTCTGAATTCCAGGTGACACAGCCAGCTCTCTGGATACAGCTCAAGAGTTCAGGCCCAGCCAAGCATTAAGGTACATGTCTGAAATTGCAGCTACTTGGAGGCTGAGGCAGGAGAATCGAAAGTTGGAGGCCAGCCTTGACAATTTAGCAAAATCTTGTCAAAATAAAAAATAAATAAAGCTTGGACTGTAGCTCAGTACAAAGGCCCTGAGGTCAATCCCCTGTAGCACAGGAGGAGGAGGAAGAGAAAGAGGATGAAGAAGAAGAGGAGCCCAGAGAGAAGGAAGAGAAGAAGTGAAGGATGGACAGAGTCAGGCTCCAGAGGTGTCGGGTGCATCCCTCCAGGCCTTGGCTGTTCCCCCTGGAGAGACAGAAGACTGCTCTTTCTCAGTGTAAGGCAGAGTCTTGCTTTGGGAACCCTAGCTGAGCGTGAGTCCCTAAGTCAGGTTTTAGGAAAGTACAGATGCTCAAAGTCAATGGTCTGCATCAAACAGAAGCCAAGCCCTGGGGAGAAGTGTAATATCCATTAGCGCCCTCCCAGGTCACGACTCCCAGCCCAGGGTCTGGGGGTCCTAAGATCAAAGCTCTGCTAAATCTTTAGTGTGAAAAGAGAAATCTGTTCCAAGTGGGGTCTCCCAAAACCATGCTTTTAGTACTAGAAAAACAGCAGGAAACATGGTAGGCTCGCTAACGAGTTCACACTTCAATCTGTGTGGCCCCAGAATATTGTTGAAGCTTCTCTCTATCTTTCTGAAAAAAATATGAATCTTCTATGACCCTCCCAATTTTTTGCTAATCCTCAAACCCTAGAGGATTTTCTTGAATCTTTTCATTTTGCATGCCAGTAAAAGTAGAAAACACAGGCAAAGAAAATTTCAGAGTATAACTGATTAAGAAAAGCAAGGTATGGTCCCACACACCCATAATCCCAGCACTCTGGGAGGCTGAAGCAGGATAACAAGTTTGAACAAGTCTGGACAACTTAGCAATTTAAAAAGAGACCATGTTAAAATAAGAAATGAAAAGAAACTGGGGATGTAGCTCAATATAAAGGCTTGAGATTTGGTCTCCAGTACCACAAAGAAAAGAAAAAGTAAAATAAAACTGTCCCTCTTACTGGTTGTGTTGTTCTTTGAGTTGTTTTACTCACTGGCATTTCCCACCTCATCTTTCTCTAAATGTATCAGAACCCTCCCCCCAACCTACACCAACTCAGTATCTTCCGGTAGATCTTCTTGAATCTCCAAGTCCATCATTGGTGAGCAACAGGTGAGGTCATGACACCAAGGATGGAACAGTTCACTGAGATTCAACAGTGCCCAAGGTCAGACTGAGTGCCTTGGCAGTGTAGGGAAGACTGCCTTGCCGCCTGGACAACCACGTGCTGAAAAACAGTTTGCTAAGGCACTTGAGTATTACAAAAAGCAGCTCCCCATGGGCATTATTAGACCATGATTTTAAAAAATGTTAAAGCAAAAGATGAGGAAAAAATACCAGTAGAGATGGAGACTGCCCAGGATATTGGCTCTGCATGCCTGAAGACTATTGTTTGATATAAAAGTGATGTGTCACTGTGGGAACAGCAGTGATCACCATGAGCCAATATTTGTTGAATGCTAGGCATCCTCTCTACCACTACTAGAGAAGGGTGGGGAAAATCTTGGAGGCCCATCAGGCCCCTGGAGCTTTGGTTGGTGATGACTGTTCGTGGTACTGGTCACGCGGACTGGCAGTGTGGAGAGAAGGCTGGTACCCAGTGGAGGTAACCCTCCCCGGGTTGCCATGAAGAAGCAGAGGTACTCAGTTTTCCTTAGTAACTAAAATTCTTAATATGAGCAAATAAAATCCTCTGCCAGTGCCTTGCACTGAGCAGGCAGGCCAGGCTTCTAACAGCAGCTCAGGGGTGTGACTGGGGATAATTAGGGACAGTGTGGGATGCTTTTCCGTTACTTCCGTCGGCCCATTAATATGGAGGAAGCATCTCTCCTCACACCATCACCTCAAACAGTGGGATCCTGCCGAGGATGTGTGCCCCGAAGTTAATGGATGAGGTCTCTGGAGGGTATTTCACGGGAAAGAGCAGTCTAAGGTTGCCACCCAAAGACAGACAGAGGCGTTAGAGCTCGTTTTGTTTGCTTTCTGCTGCTTTTACATTAATGGCAAATAAAAACCACTCCTAAGACACAGTCCAGGGCCACGTCCTCCCTCATTTCTCAGCCTATTTTTCTTCCATCACCTTTCTAAGAAAGTCACTTGAACCATTTCTCCACACATTTCTTAGCCCGTTGACCCACTTCTAGGAATCTCAGAAACAACTCGCAGTCCACATAGTAAGGAAAAAAATATTTATTTTCTAAAATCATTACCTTGACAGGCAAAACAAAGCATGTTGTCGATTTCATTCAGAAATATATATATTTTAAAAAATACATAGACCAATATGGCCTGCCCAGACATATATTCAACATGGTAAATATAAAGAATAAATTGTTTGAATATAAATATCTCTAAAAAAATAAGTACATAAAAACTCAATTCAACCTCTTCCATTAGCTGGTTACATAAAGAAAAATAATTTTACTGCTTTAAAGCATTACCAATATTTGCTTTTCCATTTCTTCCATAAATGCCCCTATACCATTATGTTTCCAAAAATCAAGGTCAGAGAAGCTCCTGATTGGATGATCTTTTTTCTTAAGGATCAGAGCTAGTAGATTAGCATGAAAACGTTTTTGCCCACTACTGACACGTTGGACCAGACCTCTGTGAGGCTAATGTGGGGTTAAAGGGAGCGGGCAGCAGGAGGGGAAAGGGCGAGCGAAGCAACAATTAAAGGTGGGAAATACTCTAGCCAGAGTGCAACAATGCTGAGGTAGACTCATACGCATGCATCACATCCGGGTTTACAGTAGTAACAGTTTCTTTCCATTTTACATTTTATGACTTTAAAAAGGTCCATCTTATTTTTTAATTTTATTGTAGTCGAGTGTTTGTCTTTGGAGTGTGTTTTCAATTTGTGCATTCCTTAGAAAATCTTTGCGTGAACTTTGGAGTTTCTGCCTGAAACGTGCCAGGCGCCTGAGTCAGAAGCAAACACTCCCCGAGGGCTTTCCTCAAAACTCCGCCCTCCCGCGGAACCGCCTTCCTCCCTCTGGAGGATGCCACCTAATCCAAAAGGCATTGTGTGTCCTGCTTCTGAGAGGTCCATCGTCCTTCCCAAAGACAAGAATACACTCAAGCAGTAACCACCAGTGGAAGCAGAGGAAGACAGGTCGAGGGAAGCCTTCACCTCTCTCGGAATGTTCGCAAGGACGCTGGCCATTGGGCCCTCTGGAACAAGAAGTGGTCTAGGCAGGAAAGATTCTCTTGCTCTGATCCCAGCCAGGGCGGACAGAGAGCATGCTTGGCCACGTGGCTCTTTCTCTGGAGGCAATGACTTCAGACAGGCCCAGCGCTCGACGATCAATGGGTTCGGTTGTGGGTCACCTTCCGCTCTCTGCTGAGCATGGCTTTCAACTTTGCGAGAGGAGAAGATGGTTTAATGCTGTTGCTGACGGCCTCCAACCTATTAGAACAAGACAAGGGAAAACAAATGTTAAAATCACTCCTTGGCTAAAGAAACATCTAAAATTAGAATCTGGCACAAACAAATCTAAATGTAGATCCTGCACTTTCACCACCAACCACAACAGCATGTTGCCCTTTGATAAAACCTCAAGTGGTATGAATTACCATTGTGAAATAAAGTTCACAGTTTATGCTTAGGAAGGGGGAGAGCAATCATGTGTTCTTGTCTAAGGGAAATTGGGTATTAAATCCAATTGTAAAGGAAACTAGATGGACTAAAGCGCCAGCTTAGGCTGAGCGCAGCGTGTCCCCCACGTGCCTTGCCGGCCCCACCCCCACTCCTGGGGCTCGCTGAGATGGTGATTGAGACTGGGCATGGTGGCACATGCCTGTAATCCCAGCTCTTGGGAGCCTAAAAACAGGAGAATCACTACGAGTTCAATCTACATGGTGAGACCCTGTAGACCCTGTCCTAAATACATTAAAAATAATAATAATTAATAATAATAATAACAAACTAGAGATGTTCTAGTATCTTCTACACCTCTATCTTGACATTCCCAAAGCCATGCAGAAACCCAAAACAGTTTTCCAGTAATCCTGGACATCTTCTACCTCGCATAAAAACTGATGGTAACAGATGAAAAGAGAAACCCAAAAAGCAAGCATACAGGTATGGCCCAAAGCAAATACTTATAGCAACTTTTAAAAATTGTAGGCCTAATGTTTTCTTTCCTTTTTCTTTTATTTTATTTTATTTTTTCAGGAGAAGAAAAGAAGGAAGAACTATAACACTGATTCCATAGCTGACGTCACACAACTAATAAAAGCAATAATAATTTCCAAGTCAGCTCAGCAACTGTAATCTATTGAGAACCCATGGGGGCCCAAGACCCTGAACCTAGAATCTGCAGGGGCGGAGCTGAGGCTGACCATACTCAGCAGTGAATGACTCCAGCACCCTCGTGCCTGCAAACCTCAGCTCAGGAGGCCTCCATTTCAGGCCTCTGGCCTCTGCATTTCCCAGGAAAGATTCTGCAGACCATGACAGGAGTTTGCAGAACAGAAGACAGATCGGAAGGGAATGAAGGTTTCCTCCCTCAAACCCATGAGTGCCAGAAAGTTTACTTGGACAGACCAACCCTGTAAAGCTATTCATGGTAACCCTGCGAGACCTCTGTGACAAGATAGCTATTCTCCACAAATGCATTTCCCTAGTTTAAAAATAATAATAATAAACTCAAAAAGCATCATGTTCTGAGTCTCACTAACCTGACCTTGTTTATTTTCCCTGTGGCCAATTGAATAACTGCTACTTTTGCAAAATTTGGTTATGCATGACTTCGATTTTTTAAATGTCCTGTCCCTGAAATGATTTTTAATTCTTGCCCAAAACAAGTGCCCTTGGAGGGAAATATTGGACAATGTCAAATACAAGAGTTGTTTCTTGATGTATTTAGTTTGGAAAATGGACCTGAAACATGAATGGTGCGTGCTAACGTAGAGTGTGCAAGAGTCTATACCCAAGGCTTGGTGCAAACGTTTGGGGATTCCTTTGTTCTGTTCATTGTGCTGAGCACATATACCCCCTTGTCAGGACATTCTTAGCCTTTCCCCAACTGGGAAGGGAGCACTAGGGGCTTGGGCCACAGTATCCACGGCCCTGGCTAGGCCGTTCTTGTGGCTTCTTACCTTCTTATTTTCCTTCCCTCCACCAGCTGCTGGGAGATGCACTTCTTTCCCAGCTTGGAACAATTTTTTCCTTTCTTGTGCTTATCCCAGCCTTTCTCCATTGTGTCCTGGGACCTGGTAAAACACACAGAAAAAAAACATTTTAGCAGTGGGATCTTCAGACTCTCAACAACCTCCCTTCTCTCCCTAGAACGAGGAGGCAGCATTACAACAGGAAGGAGGCCAGGAGGCCACACAACTGACTGAAAAGAAAAGGTAGCCATGTGTTGTTGTTGTTGCTGCTTCTGCTGCTGCTGTTGTACTCACCTGAGTTCTTTTCCTGCTTGGCAAAACTTCCAGCACTTCTTGTCTTTTTGGTTAGCACATTGGCATCTGTCCCTGTGCTCTGCTGCCTTGGCAGGAAATAATTCCTTCAAGGATCGCTTGGACCTAGAAGGGCTTCCAAGTCCATAGGGAACAACATGCCTGTTATCAAAAGAGAGGAATAAAAGACATTAGCATAACGAATAGCCTTCCAAATGAGTTCTTTTCCACCAGCTCACTCCAGGGGCCACACAATGAGTTAAGCACACAGCACTGAGACAGTAACATAAAAGTGTGGCAACACAAGGAACATGTATGCATCCAACCAAGAGAAAACTAGTTGTTCTGATTCAGTGAAATTGTGCCTCAACTCTTTAACAAAGTTCAATTTCTTCTTGACGTAAGCCACATCTCTTTTTGCCCAAATCTCTGCTTTGGACACCTCTGCTTTATTGTCTGTTTTATCTTTTCTTCATTTTCTAATATTCTATCTAGGCAACAGCTACTTGAAAGTGGGGCATGGCAGAGTGGAAAGCCATGACTCTCAAAATTTGTAAGACCTCTATTTGATCTAAATCATAGATGATGAAGCTACAGGTCTACAAGTCTCCTCTGTGGGGAGGCTAGTTTACATAGTTCTGCTGGAAGGTGACATCATGCAACTGAAGAGGGGCTTATTGCCAGGGGCTCGCCAATAATCTGCAATGTGTCCATTTTGATTGTCATCTGAAAAGCCAGTCCCCTTTTGGGATATGCTATCTTCTTCAACACTAGACTTAGGATGCTTTGTTTTGGTTTGGCTGTGTTTGGCTTTCTATCCTCCCTCACTGCAGTGGACACTGGAGACAAGATGGATACGCTCTTGTTTGTGACTACTTCTGAGACGTGATCTGGTTTGGGGGGCACACAGGAGGACTACCTTTCTTTTCTCTGTGAGTGGAAATGAAGCCCATGAGCTCTGCTTCTGCCATAAATGGGCTTCTCTATGGAGAAAGAAGGAGCCACAAGGTCCTTTTCAAGTTCTACCTCAAGCTTACTGCTGCAGAAGGAACTGCTGCAGCTTGAATCAGAGATTTTTTATAAATAAAATGAAGGGATTGGATGACAGCTCTCTGTAAGCCCCTTGCTGCTCACTCTCCACCCTCCTAGGAGAAGCCCAGGGTGGATGCACATGGGACCTTGCAAGCTTATTCTCTAACCCATGTCCAACCCTCCAATGGGAGCACGGTTGTGTGCCCTCACTTAAGGACTATCCAGAATGTACAGCAGCTTCCTGGGGGTCCTCAGCTCCTTCCATTCATCCCATCCCATAAGGAGTAAACTGAGCCCTGGGGTCTCTCCCCTCCATTGTTGTCAGCCAAAGCATCGTTACCACTAATGTCCTTTCCTGTTGTCAGAAATGCTACCTTTAGAATGCAAGCCAGAAAGGCGAGCTAGTATGGGCAAGCCAGAACAGACCCATGACTAGAGCTACGATGCCCTCTAGGGACTCACTCGGGAGTGTTGACCCAGATGATGTCCAAGTGGCAGAAGTAGACGCACTCCTTGTCCATCAGGGATGAGCAGGAGCAGCGCTTGGACCGGCGCAGCAGCCCGGGTACACTGGGCGGGGGCTTCTCCCCTCCGCTGTAAGCCTTCAGGCTGAGCTCAGTGCCTGAGACTCCTGCAGGGAGAGAGAGAGTGCAGATGAGTGGGTGTCGCCTGAGACACCAGACACGCTGCCAGCTGCCAGACATGCTGGGTCACAGTATTTACACCAGATCTAGCAGGGCAGATAAAAGCAGACCAAGCATAAGGTTGCCCTTAGCAAGAAACACAAACAGAGGGAAAGGGCTCTTTATTTTTTCCCTCCTTCACATGACTTCACCTTTACCAGGCTGGTTTATCCACTTGCAGGAGTCGATAACACCCACGTGGAGACTGACCAGCCCCTTTAAGCAAACTTCAAGGAAATGCCTGCGAGTGCTGCCCATGAAACTCTGCCTCAGAACTTAGTAGAACTGCACAGACCTCGGCAGCTTAACACTGGATGATGACTACGGATAGGATAAATAAATCACATTGTCTATGCTTGGGGTGGAATCACGTCCCTTTCAGGACTGACTTTCCTTTCTGGGGTGCTCCCCACCCCACACCTTGTGAGGAGCATGGAGTGTTCAGATACCTCTCGAAATGAAGCAGAAGGCAAGAGCCCCAGGAAAGGACTGGGGAGAGGAGAGATGAACTCTTTAATACTCATTCCAGGGCGGAAACCCCACAGAAACCCACTCCACGGGGAAGCTGAGAAGCAGCTCCCGGCACACCTTAAAGGCTCTGTGGGTTTGGAATGTGGGATCTGCGTGACAGTGTTGCCTGTGTGGGATCCTCTACCTCTCTCGTCCCCAACACAGAGCTGCCTCCTCACTGACAATCAAGCCAGGCAGCTTATCGACCCAATTTTGTACATTTCAAATGATCAGACACATTCCAAGATTTCCATCCCCCTGACAGCCCTTCTGTTTGGCCGGGGTCATGAAAGGACAAAAAAGGTGCCCTGACCCCCAAAATGGGATGCACACAGGCAGAGACACGAGTACTGCACAAACCCTGAAGCAGCCAGGAATTCTCCCAGCCCCCTTCCAGGGACAGGTGAACATAGCTGAAAACCGTGCTCACCCTTTTTAGGTGCCAAAAACCTGCCAAAAGAAACCTAAAGTCAATACTGACAAATTTTAAAGAAAACATCTGCTTCGCCCTGAAACCGCCGGGGGTTACTCAACTCACTCCTGTTCTTCAGGTGATTTCACTGCTCACATACTCCTCGGACAGCGCGAATAAAATTTCTTGGCTTCAAGCTGGAATGTTTAACTGTTCTGCACACTAACTTACTATTAAAATAGTGTTTGAATAAGCTATAAGTTCCTAAACGCACCACTCTGTACCTGCAGGAACACAGGAACTGCAAACACACGTTGGACTAACTCGCCGCTGCCCTACACACTTCTTGAGTTGTTTTTTAAAAGTTCAGGAAGCAAATTCTTCACTGATAATAAGGTTTTCTTAAGGCTGCGTTATAGTTAATTGCAATCAGCAGAGTTTCATTTGCTCACTAGAACGCATTAGCAGCGGTGAGAAAGCCCCAGACACTTGCTACCCGGACAGAAAGGGCAAAAACAGAAGCCAGCAATGCATTCAGGTGAATCAGACAACACTGAGGTTCCGAAGTTCACGAGGCAGCGCGCCTACCTGTCTCTGGAGCTCCATAGACAGCCACCAACAGCAAGGGGAAAATCACAGGGAAATAATCCATTCTGGAGGAAAAAATTTTTTTCCTAAATTCTCCTGCAAATTGAATGCAGAAGCAAACAGCTTCGGTTCCCGCAAGGCGCTTCTGAATATTCGGAGCTCGAAGCGACCGATCGTACAGCGCAGGACGACTCCCAGGCCGGGCAGAGGCAGAGGCAGCGGACTGCAGCGAGGCGGCGGGGACAGCGCGGACGACCGCTCTCCAGGCGCAGGCAGAAGCGCTCTGGCTCGGACAGCTCTCCGCTGGCTTTTTATACTGAACCCCTATCGAGTGGGGGTAAACAGCTCCGACTTTATTCCAGCCCTAGACAATGTTATTGTGTTATTAGTCACCGACAGGCAACGTGCGGCTGGAGATAAGGCCGGGCTCTAAAGGAAATCGCTGCGAACTTCAGAGGCAGACGCCCGCCGTCTGACAATTCAGGGGCAGGGCTAAGAAAAAAGAAAATACCCATTAGAGACTTTGGTAAACCTGCCCGTGCCGGGCTAGAGTCAGCTTCCCCTTTGCAAGCTGCCAGCCCGAGTTCAAGAATCAGAAAAGGGACTCCATAAAAGTCATACCATTGGTATGAAAAGTATGAACTACAGTTTAAATAGATTGCATTGTGTGTGTGTGTGTGTGTGTGTGTGTGTGTGTGTGTGTGTGAGGGGGTTCTTCAGCACTCGCTCTATTTTCCTTTTATGTCTACCCACCTAGGGTCGATCAAACAGAGGACGCACTCCCTCTGAGCTGCCCCCTACCCGGGGGTCGAATTATTTAGGCAGATCAACACGCCTTTCTCCTCCGCTAAGCCCCTCCCCCAACCTTTATTTCAGGGTGCTTAACTAAAAGTTCTTTGCTTCTACAGTAGGAAAGGTCGGGGAGACTGGCAAAGAGGAAAGATTTAAAACAAAAACAAAAAAAAAAAAAATAGGGCTCTGTCAGGCACATTTCGCGCGGGGGGCGGCCTCAAGCGCACCATTTAGAAGTCCCCAGGTTCGCTCTGTGCCCACCCGTCTGGTAATTGCACCACGGTCCACACCATCGATTTTTTTTTCAATAGCATTTTAAAAACTGTTCTTAGTCCACTTTCGCAGTCCCCGGTGTTCCCACTCCGCGGGCGCAGTTGGGCGTGCACAGATCACGGCTGCGATCCTCCCTCTCCCTCCCTCGCCCTCGAGCCCCTTCGCGCGCCAGAAGGATCGACCTCCGTCTTCCCGGTACCTGCCCTGTATTCTGCTCTTTATTTAGAATTTGCGTTTCTCGGAGAAACCCTGCGATATTTAAGTGGCCGTGTCTGATTTATTTCCTCTGCCACCACTCTTTGAAGAAAGGGCAGAAATTAAGAAATACCGTCCTTAGGGAACAGCAGGGGGAGGTAACGAGCCACAGGGCTGCTGTACTGTTAGGACAGAAAAAAACAAAGCCTTGGCCTCTGCAGGATAGGCAACAACGCGTGGCCGAGGCCGAAAAGGACAGGGCACGCGCTCTGGAGAGGGACACCCGAGGCCCCACACCTCCTCCGTACTCAGCGAGTGTTCCCGAACCCCCTCCTCACATAGGGCAAAGGCTCTGGGGACACGCTCCTGGGCCCATGGGAAGGAGCAAAAGCCCGTGCCCGGCACGGATCAGATGCCACCTCACACTTAATAAGGCGTTGGCATTTTCAAAACATTTTCCGCTCTATTTCACCTTTATGGGTCCCCTGAAGTGAGCAAAGGCCACGAACACAAAGGTGCCAACCAACGTGGCCTAGTGAATTAAGCAAAACACAGTCGCTTTCTTCAGTTGGCTCCGTTTTCCGTTGGGGGAACCCGGCAATGCCCACCAAGTCCAAGCTTCACTGAGTTCTCCCAGAGAGCCCCAAAGACAGCCAGGGTGGATTTACTACCTCTTCCTTGCACGGGAGAAAGATGAGTATCCATCCAGGCCCCAGGGATTCTCTCAGGATAAAGTCCTCCATCTTCTCCCTGCACAGTTTCCCAGCTGGGGCTGGGGGTGGGGTGGGGTAGGATGGGGGTCCCAGCTCTGACCATTTCTCAGACTTGAGGAAGATCTCATGGAGTCATGTTTTCACCTCTAAAATTTGGCAGAGATTGTTACCCAGTCACTAGGGCTGTGGGTTTGGGCACACTTGGTCCCCCAGGCCTCCCTGGAAGTCCCAGCTGGGGACCCACAGTGGCTGCGTGGGGTGTAGGGCATCTGTACCCTAGAGGTGCTATAGGAGGAAGGGGGTACAGGCTGCGCCATCCTCCCATACCCTGATGCCTCCCCCAACTGAGCCTCTGCAGGACGGGTTGTGGGGGAGGGTCCCTCACCTCAACCCAGAGGGATTGGGGGTAGGGGCAGCAGGACACAGCTCTGGGACCCCAGATCTGCTCTCCCTGAAGCCAACTGACACCAAAAAGCTGAGGTCACACTCCCAAGATCCAGGCTTCCCCTGAGCCAGCAGGTGGAAGATGTCTGCGAAATGTCTTGGTGGCCCCACCCTCTGCTTTAACCTTCAGGCAAATTTGCCCAGACACTGGTAACAGTCAGGACCAGCTTGTCCTCAGCCCCTTCCTAGTACACACACACACACACACACACACACACACACACACACACACACACAGAGAGAGAGAGAGAGAGAGAGAGAGAGAGAGAGAGAGAGAGAGAGACCTATACTCCAGGTGTCACCTGCACCCTCTTCTCCTGTGTCATCCTGTGAATGTATTTGAATTAGAAATACAAAATCTGGGCAGCGACCCACCCCCACCCCAGCCTTCTAGACCTTCTGGAAAATAAAAATGCAGGATATTGTACTTGAGAAGGTCTGAACTTTCCAAGTATAATCTTGCCCCATTTTTTTAAATTCTGAGTCCCCAAGGTGCCCATGCAGTGTCTGTATTTCCAGGTCCCTCTGTGTGTGCACATATCTTAGAGGAAGGGGTGGGATCTGCCTTTTCCCTCCATTCTTCCCTCTCTATCTCTGCTGCAGCCCTCTCTGCAGGAGAGTACCCCCCACCAGGAGTACCCCCCACCAGGCCCAGAGAAGGCAGCTGTAATAGTAGTATCCAGCTGACCAGAAAGAAATTTTCTAAGAATCAAGGAAAGGAGACAGCAGGAGAACCCCAACCAACCAGTTCTGCAAGCTCCACACTCTCATCCCACCTCCAGTCATGGCCTTATTAGAAAAGGAGGTAGGACGGGGAAGTTCAGAAGCTGGATAAAGGGATAAATACAGAGGTTTCATAAATATGGAGGTGCAACCTCGCACCCAATCAAAAACTAACAGGGAAAAGCTCTTTGTAGACCTGCATTCCCAGAGTGAAGGGAGAAGAGAAAGAGAAAGCAACATCAGGAAGGCTTTCTCCCTTCAATACCAGTTTGCTGTTGCAGCTCTTGTTTTCAAAGTTACAATGCAGCGCTTCAAACTATTTGATAAAGCTATAGTCTTTTATGTATTCTTTTTGTATCTTTAGCTCTGTATTAATAGATGTCTATAAATAAAACACCATGAGTCCTGAATAGGGAGACTACACAGTTACAAAGTATACTGTTATTAGCACTCTTCAGCACAGCTCTTTCTCAACTTTTGCGTAATGAAATTTGCAACTTTGTCAGGCCCATGAATTTGGTGTGAGATGTTGCATTTCGCTCACGGAAGAGAATAATAGCCACAAAGCTGCTTGACAAACGGAAAAAGAATGAGGACCAGCTTACCATTGCAAGCAGAGGCCACACTACCAGACTCAGTGTAGTCATGCCCTGATGACTGTTGCGTTTCCACTTGGTGTAGCACTCTTGTGAAAAATTGTGCTTTCCATTCATTATGCCTATGACACACCACACACCTCCAGGAGCCCTGAACAAACACAGACCTCTCCTCACAGCCTCAGTAGTCATGGTTGATTTAGCACAGAAAATATGACAGTGGCCAGGATAGATACATCCTTTGCATTTTCAAAACATCAAGTTCGCAATTTCATTGCCTTGACATTCACCACTAGCACCATGACAGATGGCAGGCATTTAATTTAAAAAATTATAATCACTAGGACAACAATATGCAATGTATTGATTATTGAAACTATCCTACTAATCAGTTTTGAAACTGTCTCATTGCTATTTTTCAATAAAATTGTTTTTCAATAAAATCATTTAAAAAACAATCTTCTAACCTAGCTTTCCCCTAAGCATAGTCATTCATAAAACTTTTTTCACAGTTTCTGCCATATTTATATGTTGACTATTTATCTTTAATATTTTCAATAGACCTGTTTTTTTCTACTTGATTTATTTTAAAGAAATCTTATATCCTATTCTAAACAATAATACATGTGAAATCATGGTTTAACATATGTTAAACTTTACTAACTAGGTATTCATTAAGTTACTAGAAATCAGAATGCTCATTCATATATGATCATCTAATACACAACTCCAGCTTGCTTGCCAGTCTCTTCCTTTTCCTACACTGTCTATGGTTTACTGTGTTTGTTAGTAGGATGAAGCCCTCCTTTAGTACCCTTCTCTGACTCTGCTATCCAGACAAACCCCAAGTACCCCACATGAAAATCTTGCTATGGATGTGCCTCAATGAAACAGAACCTAGAGAAACAAAGAGGTCTCATCCAAAGAGCTTTAGTGGACACTTCCCCTTGACCCACTGCATTAGAGATTTGGAAGCTGTCCTTCCTTGTACTTCCCAGTCCTATCCCAAATTTAAGTATCCTGTTCACATGTTTTCATGGACACACACAAGCATGTATATGTGTGAATCTATAGATTCCAGTGTGAGAGTAGTCATTTTTTGCACATTACAGAAAATGTGATAGCCACTGGCCACCTTTGCATCTGTGTCTTCTCCCCCTACTTCTGGGCCATTCATAACATTTGGAGCTAAAGGTTCTCTGATGCAGAGGACCAAAAGAAACCCACCTGGGGTGAATAGCCAGGAGTCACTATCAAGTGATCTAATTCATGCAGTCATTCTAAACAAGCACTCCGTCCATGTACCAAGAGGGATGTGTTGGGCTTTGAATAAGATTTGTCCCCTCTGAAACTCAAGCAGATCTGATTCCCACTGTGGTGTGGGAGTTGGGAGTGTAGGGAAATGGGGCCTCCTAGAGGTGATTGGGTCATAAAAAGGGATGCGTGTGTTGTTTTAGAGCCAGGCTGCCTCTGGTGTTTCTCTCTTGCTCACGCCCACTTGCTCTTCCGTTTTCAACCACGAGTTGAAGCAGCACAGGGCTCTTACCAGAAGTTCAGCAAATGCCAGAATCATGGTTTTGGATGTCTCATCCTCCAGAACCATGAGCCCAAATACATCTCTGTTCTTCATAAATCAGCCCAGTCTCAGATACTATGTAACAACAATATAAACTGAAATAATTATAGTAAAAGAACA